CTACTTTAGTTCTAAAGTAATCTACAGTAATAATATCCAGTTCATTGGGTTGTTGTAAGCAAAGCACCTATCACGTCATTTTCCGACCAACCGGCCACAAGCTGTCACAGGAAGTTTCAAAAGAAAATAAGTATGCATTCTCTACCACGAGCAAGGAAAACATCCAGTTATACACAAGCCAGTTATACACAATGAACTGCTGATGATATATGCAAATCAAAGCAGCTCTCTCATCCATGCCCATTTTTAGTTTTCCTAGTGTGGATGTGGAGGCATTTCCAATGAGAGCCCCTTTTCTGGCATTTGTACAAGTCAGCAGATCGCCAAAGCCTAAGTAAAATTCATGCTGATTAAGACCCTACAAAAAGTCACAGGTCATTTAGTGGTCCAGAAACAAGGATAAAACAAACCTCTTCAGTCTCTTTAAAGAGCGGGTATCTCAGACTCTCAACAGAGACAAAGCAAGAGGATGAAATATCCTTCAAGTAGCCTGGACTGGGACAGAAGCAGCAGCAAAAACGCCTCTTCCCAGCTTCAGGTTCTCCATCACCTCCTAGCGGAAGATTTTCCTCAAGCACGGTTACTTCCTCTGGGTTCCAGGAAGAGAAGGGCCTCAGTTGCCAGCGGGGTGATCTCCAGTACTCACACAGTTAAACCTCTTCCGAGGAGAAGGGAGAAGTGAGCAGAAGGGAGGGGGGGAAGACGAGAGGGGAGGGAGGCGAGCAGAGGGAGGAGGGAGGAGGACGCAGGGAGGCCCCGCCCACTGGCACAGAGCTGCCCTCCTCCCGCCCCCGCCCCCGGCCGGCCAGGCCGCACCTGCCGCGCGCACACGCCCCCCGCTCGCTGGCTGAGCCTCCCAGCCGCCGCCGCCGCCCTCCGCACGCACCCGCTGCGGCTCGCCCGCACAAGCCCAGCCTCGGCGCGGGCCGCAGCCACCCGGCCGCCGCCGCCGCCGCCGCCGCGCTTCCTCCAGCCTCGGGCCGCGGCCGTCGCCGCCGTGCAGTCGCCGAACCCGCCGGGCTGGGCACTGGGCGCCCGTGCCGCCACCGCCGCTGTCGCTCGCTCCCCTCTAGCTCCCGGGAGGACGCGCTGGACCGCTCCTCAGCAGCCTCAGCTCTCGGGGTGCTCACTGCCGGAGCACCCTCCCTAGGGCTGGCGTCCTCCTCCCAGCGCCCAGCATCCTGCACGGACCTCGGCGTTCTCTGCCCTGAGCATCCTCGTGAGTGCTTGGCATCCTCCTCGGGGCTCAGCATCCTCCTTCCGTTCGACAGCGGCGCCCGGGCCCGGGCCCCACCCGCTCGCACCCCACCCGCGGGAAGGAGGCCTCGGGAATGCAGGGGAGTGGCTGTGGGGGCGCGTCGCCGCTCGGCCAGCCCCTCTGCCCAAACACGGGCTGCTTCCCCATTGTAGAAGCTGCGCCGTGAGGAGGACGGCGTGCTGCTCCTGGCGCGGGGCTGCGGGGAATCTCGGCGAGCCGAAGCCCTGGCGTCTTTTTAGGGTGCGGCGGAGAGGGCCCTGGCGTTTGGGGAGTGGGCCGGGAGGAGGACCGGAGCAGGAAAAGGACTCTGTGGGGGTCTGGGTGAGAGACTATGGGGAAGGACCAGGAGCTGTTGGAAGCTGCTCGCACTGGCAATGTGGCTCTGGTGGAGAAACTCCTGTCTGGCAGGAAAGGAGGGATCCTGGGCGGTGGATCCGGACCTCTGCCCCTGTCTAATCTGCTAAGGTAAGACCTGGTACCAACCGGGGGGGGGGGGTCGTGTGCACCCCTCCTTAGCATTGTGATGGGTACGTTCTCTCCTCGGGGTATTGCACCTGGACGTGTCAGCGGTTCATTCTTAAATTAGGCAGGAAAACAGACCGTGTGTGTGGAGAGGAGGCAAGAGCCTTCCAGGTCCGACTGATGCTTTAGACTCTTCGAGTAATTTGAAAATAGCTTTCCATCATGCGTCAATCAGCCACTTTTCTCTGAGCTGTGGTGCAGAACTTGTACCGCTGTTGCTAGAAGAAAATCCCGTTTTTCTTGCACGTCCGTTGCTGTTTGTATTTGCAGTTGTGAAAGCCCACACCTACTATTTGGCTATTTAAATGAGAAGGTGCTTGTAGTTTTCCTGCCAAAGCCACAGCCTCCTTGGATTGCTGCTACTTTCTCATGCAGAGGGCAACGGCGGTGGGTTATGATCCCACAAAAGAAAGACAGTGAACCTTACCTTCTGAGAATATGTCGATCAGTCAGCAGAGTGTAAAACTCGACGAGGCAAGTTAGGCAGCCCCAGCAGTATTTTCAGTTTCCCAGCATAGCTGAGTGAAAGTCAGGATGCAGGAAGCCACGTCCGGCCTGGGAAAGTGTGTGTGGAACGCAGCAGAGGCCTTTTAATATTCACGTGTTGCAGGTGAGACGAATATTGCTCAAAGAATCTTTCTAAGGTGGCATTAAAAAAAAGTCAAGGTGTTTATTCAGCAGACATAAGCTCGAGATAGCTGGGTTGATTTGCGGATTTGAGAAACTATTAAAAGTTGGATTGACCAAATGCAGGGGGAGCCTGAAGAGCACTCACTAAATGAAATTCCAAGAAAGCTCTTTAGTTCTCAAGTCGTGGTTATTCCGTTTGTCTTGTATATTTTTGGAAGCATCTTTCATCATTCCCATCTTTACCTTAAAACATCTCTTAGGCAGTTCAACGATACTTACACAAGTTTTTTAAAAGCTGAAGTTATTTTCTTGCTTAAAAGTATTTTGTACTACTCTTTATAAAAAAAATTAAAAGTTACATTTATTTGGTGTTGTGTGTGTATGTGTGTGCTGTGCATGCCAGCCAGCTCATTGCAGACAGCATTGCAGAAATCAGAAAAGAACTTTGAGAGTCTGTTCTCTCTCTCTTCCATGTGGATTCAGGAAGTGGCACTCAGGTTCTTAGGTTTGAGAGCAAGAGCCTTTATCCTCTGAAGCAGCGATTGTCAACCTCCTCACCGCTGCCGCCCTTTAATACAGTTCCTCACGCTGTGGTGGCCACCGAACCATAGTACTGTTTTGTTATAACTGCAATTTTGGTACTGTTATGACTCACAATGTAAATATCTGTGTTTCCCTGTGCGACCTTCATGAAAGGGTCATCCTGCCCCCACAGGGGTCACTACCCACAGGTTGAGAACCACTGCTCTATCTCGTTGACCCCTTGTGCTGATCTTGCTAAGTGTTTGATACAAACTTTTGCATGAAAACATCGTGGTGTATACACAGGTTCTCATAGGTTGTGGCTAGACACTGAGATTAATTATAATACTGGCTATAGGGAAAAGGTAAAGGTTATTTTACAGTGAAATGAACTTAACTGAAAAATGGTGAGGTTTAAGTTTCATATATTATTACATACCCATGGTGACAGTGACACTACTGTAATATTTCATTGTAGAACAATTGTTTTTTTATAGGAGTCCCTCTCACCCAGGGGCCTTAAAAAAAGATGACCATTCTGTGTATTTTCATTTCTAAACACAAGTAGATGATATACATATTTTAGATGACAGTTTTGATATTTACACCTATAAAGTTTATAGAAAAGAAATTTAGTTACAGTTTTAAGTTATAAGTGAAATGAGTTTATTTGTGAGGGTGTCAACCCACTAATTATAAAAGTTATTCTGGATGTATGCTAAAATAAATTCCTTAGAAATTAATTTCTTTGGAAAAAATCATTAGCAATGAGAAATTTAATTTCATTGACACAAATTGAGACAAATGGTATTTTTGAATACTCCCTTCTCAGATGTGTGATATTTGAAATAGAAATAGATAACAAATTTTAGGGCTTAAACATCAAATATTTAATTGTAAGTGTGATTCACACTGTTCATCTGGAAAGAGTTTTCTTTATTATTGGCTTTGTTAGGGTGACTCTACAGGAGTATGCATGGAAAACCAGATATATTTCTAAGAGTAGTTTGAATCAAATAAAACCAGTACCTCCCAGACTTGTATGTACTTCTCTTATACCAAATTAACAATTAAAACATGTCTTTTAAGAAAATGGGAGTTGAATTTACATTTAGGTGATCTTTTACATAAAATGTGAATTCCTTCCTAAGAATCCTCAACCTAAGATCACATTTTATGTGGTTATCACGTTTCTTCATCAATGATTGTCAATCAGAAACTTACAGGACAATGTAATGGGTTTGTGCTCTCTTTTGGCCAACATAATGGCACTTTGAAATATTTTCGTACTTAGGAGCGCATCGTGGAATATGTTAGCCAGTGTTTCCTACTTGCATTAGTGCTGTGGAGAGTAGTGCTTTCGTCAGACTCCGGGGCAAATGCTTGCATGCTTCCTCCTGAGGTCAACACTTATTTCACAGATGAAAATTAATAAACTGTCCAAGGTCACTTACTTAACAATGGCAAGGATTTGAAACTCAGAGATTCACATTTGCTTTCCCGAGTCTTCAGTCCTATTCATGACTTTGTTTTGTTTTCAAAGTTTAAGGTGTGTAGTCAATTTGGACAATACAGTAGGAATGTTTTCTTTTTTTCTTTCTGCAAATAACAACTGTGTTTAAAAATCAGTTTGCGAAGAAAAAAATATCCCCTGACTGCTTGTTTGAGACCTACTTAGATAACAATTTTGCAGAATATACTTTGTTTCCTTGTGATTTACAACGTGAGCTGTGGCTGTGTCATGACAGAGCGTGACAGTGCACTTTTTAGTGGACACACGAGCACACTGAAATCACCACAGAAAGCTGTGCTCACCGCTGGACATTGTGAGGCACAAGCAGTAACTGTGTCTGTTCCTAGGGTTGTTTTTAGGGATTAAATGTTGTAGCAAGCAATAAATGAAGAGCATGGAATCATAGGTGTTCATTGTTAGTGTAAGCATTCCTCACGTTGCTCTAAAGCACACGAGGCCCCATGAGACCTAATTTCTTAAGGCCTTATTTACTAACCTGAGTAAAACAATAAAACTTAGGGCCATGGTAAGTTTTACACTGGAATGAGAACCTTTAAATAGAAAGGGGCCCCTAGTCCAAGTTCTTCTATGGTGTAGGAATTTCCTCTGCAAAATCCCTTTCCAGTTAGTTATCTCAAGCACTAATAACATTCCCAGTAACTAAAGATAGTCCTTTTTGTTATTATTGTTTTGTTTTTGCTAGTGTTTCTTTGGAGGCAGGGTCTTTCTCAGGCCGATCTTGAACTCAACATCCTCCTGCCTCAGCCGCTTAAGGGATAGATTACAGGCATGCTCCACTGCACCTGGCATCTATTCTCGTCCACTCTTTGGTAGCTGCAATAATAACAAATTCTACTTTTCTCTGAACTAACTCCCAGCAGCTGGTACTGGCTTGGCTGTATGGGTCAATACAAAAGTTGCTAAATTCATCTGCCAAGACAGAACTGCAGGGACATGTATTTAGCTGTACTGTTTTCTTATAAACCTACTTTCTTTTTTCATGGAAGAACCACTGTTGTTTTTAACTGTTGGTGACTATTTAACTGTACTGTTTTCTTATAAACCTACTTTCTTTTTTCATGGAAGAACTACTGTTGTTTTTAACTGTTTGTGACTATAGTGTTTAGGTGTTAAGACTCAAATTTTCATGTTTTTTAAACCGCTTTTTTTGGTCCTTTGAACATTCTCAAATTTCAAAATAACTTTTTAAAATAAGACTCCCTCCAAAAATTCTAAGAAATGAGCAATATGTAACTGTGGAATGACATTTGGATTGATATACTGATACATAAAAAACCCAACTGATTATGAAAGAGCATTTATACCTTGAGTCTACTTTTATAAGAAAAATTAACTGCAAAGACTTAACAATGTGTAGATATGGAACAAAACAATGGAGATAGCATTCTTCTTTGAGTGATGGCACTGTGGGTTCTTTTCATTTTTTTATTGTGCTTTCATGGATTGTGTAATGAGAGTAAGTGACATCTGTCAAAATATGGTACAATGCAATCATTACCACTGTATTATTGTTCTAAGGCCTTGTCATAGGTCAAGATTTTCTGAGCCATGAAGTTGGTATAGGTTCATATTATCAATGAAACTTCCAAGTATTTTTTTCTCCTAACAACCTGTGAAGCTGTAATTCCCACATCTGGTATTTGTGAAAGTGTTGCATAAACTTAAGTTATCCTTAGCACATTTCACCTTGTTTTACTCTGTAATGCGTGCATGTCTTTTCAGCTCTTGAGTCTGCTTATCAGCATGCTAACTTCCCATTCTGCATCATCTGTGGATCCATGCGCTTTATTACTGGAAAACAACACACTGTAAGATACTCCTGAAGAACCACTTCTCAGCATGTGCAGATTAAGGTGGCAGTGTTCGTGCTGGGCACTTCCTGATGCATGGAGCCACCCAGGAGAGCTGTCAGCCGGCTCTTATCTCTGTTACACCAATGAGGATACTGTGAAGTATTTCATTTATTGTCTTTCTAAGTTGATGTGGTAGTCTGTTTATGGCATTTCTTTGAGCCAGCCCTTTAGTTGTGTGAGTATAAATTCCAACAAAGTCAGCATACTTAGTAGTAGCTTGATTCTGGGAGTGAGCTGTTGGTTATTCCTAATTTGATGAAAATTCCTTCCACTTGAATATAAATCTTCTGGGTCTGGATATCTAATACTTGTTTTTCTTGAAAAGTTTACATTTATTTATTTGTTTGTTTGCTTATTTATTATTATTGTGCATCTATATGTATGGGTGTCTGCATGTGGAGATC